TGTCCATTTACTGCTTAAGAATCACTTTGCTCTGTGTTACTGAAGAGCAAACCGACCTGGGCTGATGATCCTCAGTTTGTCCACACGGTGGCAGTGGTGCACCTGTAGACTGGGTCTCCGCTGGGGCTCTTTCTGTCTGCCCAAGAAAATGAAAAATGTATTGCATGGAGCGCTGAGTGCTATACGAAAACAATGAATCATGGAACACTACATCAAAAACTAATGATGTAATGTATGGTGATTAACATAACATAATAAAATTAAATTAAATTAAAAAGAAAAGAAAGCGCCTTCTTGCATTAAACACCTGGGCATTTCAGGGAGTTTTATTTGACTTAAATTATGAAGGTATTTCCCATTTGAGGAAAAGAGAGATGATTTATAGTTAGGTGCAAGTGTCATGATCCTTCAGTTGCTCTTTTGGTGTCCTAAGATAAACTAGTCATTGAGACGGAAATAGGCCTTCATCAAAGGTCTGGTCCAAAGTTACACTTCTGTATGTCACTCTCTTTTTTTAAAATAATAGGTGGAATTTTTTAAAAAGTGAAATCACAACTTAGCAGGTCAGTTCAGAGGACCGGGTAATTTATTCGCTGTTTTGAGTTCAGGTTGACTCTTGACGTCATCATCACTTGCCACTTCCAAGTGTTTACACTTGACATTTCCGACGGAACCATCACAAGTCTTGTCAGTGGATACGTTTGCATGAAACTGTCCAAGCTAAAACTGCTGTGGGGCTTCCCATTCCAGGGGCCAGTCGTGGATGAGCTCACGACTAGCAGCGGCAGATGGGGAGAACCAGAAAACAAGAGGCTTTCTAGGAAATAAGAGGTCTCTTTGGGTTGGGGATTTCTTTAAATTCAGATTCTGTAAATTAGGTGGAGATGGGACATTATTTCTCCTTATGTAAAAGAATGTAGACAAGGATTATCACAACCTTCATGAGAATAAATTTTAAACCATTTGGAACCTTACAGTGTCTTTGGGGGCATTCTGTCAGATACACACAGAAACATGGACCGTGCTGGTTCCTTAACGACTTGGCAGGCCCCTCCAGCTTTGTTCCACAGGATATGCTATTTCCTTTGCTGACTTTTCCTGCCTCCTTTCCCAGTCATGGGACTGTTATTCTCCCTGACAAGTAAGGAATGACAAGATCTTTTATGAAAATGATCAATAGTTCTATATATAAATTTCTAAATGTGTATACCTGCCTCTGAAATTATCTTATTAAGAGCATCTTAATAATAATCCTTTCATTTTATTGCAAAAGATACTATTGTAATAATATGGCAAGGAAGAAAATACAGCTACTTATCAAGATGAATCACTTAGCAGGGTGGAAATAAAAGTTCACATGTATAAAAATAACTGGTGATTGACATGTTACCAAATTTCCACAAAATAGATTGCCATGTAATTTAGACTTTGATTTCTTTTTCTCACCGATCACAAGAATCTTCCTGATCAGGATTAGGGTCAGAGGAATATTTTTCATGGGGAAATGAGAAGCGGGGGCTTCTCTGGGGCAGTTAAAAGATCAGGATGCTTGCCTAAAGATGTCACTCCAGCAGATCTCTCCCCACCCCGTCAATGAGTTCCTGCCTCCCGGATCATGCCTATTGGCATGCTGTAAGGTCTATGGCTTTTCCTCTGCGTGAAGTGGGGAGTCACTGGACGACTTTGAGCAGAGGAGTGTCGTGGTTGACTTACACTTAAACTGGGTCTCATGGGCTGTTCCAGCAGGAGGAGAATGGAGAGGACAGGGCAACTGCAGGGAGGTGTGAGAGACCAGGGAGTGGGGCCCACTGTTTCTCTCTCTGACTGCATTTTTTGCTGCCTTCCTCTGCCCTGGCCTCCAGCCCACTGCTCTCCTTGCTGTTTCTTGAAGCCACTCAGCAAGTTCCCACTTGGACCTTCTGACCCAGCCGTTCTCTCTGCCTGGAACACTCCCCCCAGGCATCCACATGGCCTCCTCTCCCACCTTTGGCAGACCTCGCTGAGGCCTTTTGTGACCCTCCTGTTTAAAATTGTCCCCCACCTAGGCCAGGCCCTCCCTGTCCCCTTCCCTGCCTTTATTTCTCCTCTGCACTTGCTACCATCTGACATCCTAGGGATTGATTTGATTGTGGCTCGTCTCCCCATCCATCCTGAGGGGGGACTAGCTGAGGGAGGGCCGGCTTGTTCAGGGCTGTACCCCTGACATCTCTACCTGTGTCTGGCTCACAGTCGGGTATGCCATGGATGTCTGAAGTGAGCACCCTCCAGGCTCTGCTGTTTCCTGGCAGGGGGATTCAGGGCACCCCGTGGGCCCGTGCCCCCATAACAGAGGGTTGTGGTGAGCAGAGTGGACCAAGCAGGGTATGGAGGCACATTGTCACCTAGATGGGGCCTTCATGCCAGGCTGTCCTGCAGTTTGAGCTTGCCTGTCAAATGCCCTCCAATGGAAGAGGGTGTGTATCTACCTTTTCAGGCTGAGCATACACCTCTACTCACCATTTTGTTTATGGTCCAGGTCCTGGCCAGCTCTAAAGAGAGATCTGTTGCTGGGTTTCCAAGAACACCAGGACTTCCAGAACCTTCTTGTTCCCAGGGAGCCCCCACACCCCAGCCCACCTGTGCTTTCTGTTGTGAGCCAGCCCCTGGTAACCCCTGGAAACCAGGTCTGGATGATGATGTCCTGCCCATGAAAACTGCCCCCCCCCCAACCTGGTATGCCCTTCGAAGTCCCTGCCTTGGGCCTTGTTTTTTTCTGAGACATTTGTGCAGTGCCAAATAAAGAGGGAAAGCCAGCATTAGCCAATTTGGTTCAATTGGCTGCTATTTCCCCACTCTTCAGGAAGGGCAAACTGTTGTAGCTATTTTTATTATAATTACTCCCTCTCTCCTAGCTCATTAAGCTTGCTTCTTTCAAGCCTGAATACCTGGTAGAATCTGCCTAACCTCTTATTATCGACCCACCTTTGTTCATACACAAATGATTGCCATTTACAGCTCTCCTACCAGGCACCTTTTGTAAATAATCTAAATTTTAGTTTCTCAAAACAGAAAGAAATGTGGTATGTTGCTGGTTCCAGTTTCCTGGTTTCACTATGTGGCAGGTCCTGAGACGTTAAACACATGTCCTCTGTCCCCAAGTGAATCGGTGACACACCGCTCTTAGTTGAGAACAGGGACGCTCTGGGCCCCAGGAACTCCTGACCTGGCTCCACCGGGCACTGGTTCGTGCCACGCTCCCCAGCCCCAGCCTCAGTCTCCCCATCTCTTAGTGAGGCCATGGCCTAATACTTGAGAAATACAGGGAATGTGTCTTTGAACATGAACCCCCCCCCCAGGCCACTCCCCATTATCATCATTATGGAGCCAGAGGGGGAATGGATACTAGATTTCGAGACCGTTAAAATTATTCCTTGCTGGTCTTCAGAGGCAAATAAGAGAGCTTATCAATTATACTTTTGTTTCTTACTCAAAAACTCATGACTGCTTACTCAAAGGCGCCTTGTTCTAATCTTCAGACATTGTTCAGTGTCCCAGATGAATGGCAGCAAGTCCCGGGGTTTGGTAGGTGGTGCACTTTTTCCCTGGGGTGAGAAGTAACAGTGTGAGTGAGGCAGGCAGGATGGGCCCGCCTCCGCCTGAGAAGCGTTTGCTTTTGCAAGGATCCCGACTGAGCATCCCTCGTCCTTGTTCTGTTGTTGAAAATACTTGTGGCTATTTTTGTTTCTGGAACTTTTAGGAACAAAATAAGAGGAAATGTGCGGCCTGGAGAGTTTGGTTTTAAAATGCAAACATGGGAGTTATGAGTCAGACTTGGACAGGGTGTCGCTGTCTTTTTAAAAGGCAGTGATAGGATTCCTTGATTGTCTCTGTTATCTTCATGTTTAATCCGGATTCCTAGGCATTTGGTCAGCCCCAGAACCTCTCCACAGAGCAAGTGGCCCAGCCTTGGCACAGCCCCTGGAGAATCTGCATGTTGGGGGGAGGGCATCCAGCCGGGAGGCCAGGCTGCTTTTCAAGGCAGAATTGGACTATTCGCTGTAATGCACAACTATTAGAAATAAAAACTCCTGTTATTGGGAAAAACGGCACGCCGAAGTGTCATTGTCAGTGTCCTAATTTACTTCTAATCTCTTATGGTAGCACCTACAAAGCGGAGTTTACTTTCTAGAAAAGTCTAGTATGTTTTCTAAAAAATACTAGCTCATTTTCTAGAAAATTGCATTTTATCACTGCAGAAGGATTTTATTTCCAAGCGATTAGGCTTTGGAGCAAGAGTTCTGGAATTGCAGATAGAGGTTGGGAAGGTGATGATGTGCACTGATAACTGTAAATTCAGGGAGGAGGAAAAAAGTGCTTTGATTGGGAGACTTCTTTTTACCTTCCCATAACAGAGAGTAGATCCTGGTATTTAAGTAGAAGTCAGCAGCTTCTCTGCACCAAATAAAGAATGCTGTGCTAAGAAGGACTTACCCTTTATATTCATTACTGACCAAAGAAAGGCTGGGAGAATTTTAATCCATGGGATTTTTATGGCCAGGAAAGCCAAGCTGTGTTATCGGGATCACAACGATCAGAGCTGTAGATGGCCGACGTGCTTGTGTGTAGAGAGGGCAGGTGGTGGGATGTGGACTATGTCCCAGAATTACGTAAAATAAACACAGTAATCATTCTTGCCTAAAACTTCAGTGCATGGCTAGGAAGGCGAGTGGTAATGTGCTGGCATCTTGCTGAACCCTGGGTAAGAAAATCGTGGCAAACACTGGGTCTGTTTTGGAAACCTTCTAAAACCAGACTCACACCGTGAGCCATTTTAAATGTAGCTCGCTACATGTTTGGAGAGAAACACATACTCTTTTATTAGGCACATGAAACAAATCTTTGAGCTGCAGTATCAGGCGGGTAGGTTTAATGGCTGGGACTAATAAATCACAGCTGCAAAAGTTACATTCTTGGCAGGATTCTTTACTCAGCTGTTTTCCCCTTGCTTCCTTACGTTCCAGATTTATGGTCTGCGTTATGTCTGGGGCTGGCCTCCAGCTTGCTCTTTTCCTCTGCGGCTGTTATGTGGTTGCCCTGGGAGTCCACGCCGAGGAGCCCTGCGTGGCCGGTCACCATGAGGCTGAACACTACATGGCCGCCGTGTACGAGCACCAGTCGATCTTGACTCCCGACCCTCTGGCTCTCTTGAGCCGCCAGCAGGCCTTGGAGCTGATGAACCAGAACCTCGACATCTATGAACAGCAAGTGATGATCGCAGCCCAAAAGGCAAGAAATGCTCTGGGGTGGACCTCCACCGGCTTGTCTAGTAGAACAGGGCAGCTCGGTCGGTGGTTCCTGCAGCCCCTCTGGAAAATTAGTGCAGCTGGTAAAGCAGAGCAGGAGTAGTCAGTTGGCCAGGGGCGCACGACTCATTGGTCCATGCACCAGCTGGGGCAGCCCTCGGGAGCCTGTGAGAAGTGCAGAATTTGGGCACCGCCCCCGACCTGCTGAGTCAATCCATCCATCGACATTATACCCCAGGTGCTGCTTTTCACCTCATGTCTGAGAAGCCCGGAGTAGATCCTTGGTTCTCAATGTGGCTGTGCAGAGAGGGATTGCTTGCCCAGTGGGTGCCGGGGTCTCATACCCGCAGAATCGGGTAGGGGTGGGGGAGGTGGTTGTGGGCTGGGCACTGGGGTTTTTTTTAAGGCTCTCCAGTGGATTCCCATGCACAGAAAAATCTGGAAACTACCAGGCATGAGGGTCTGTGATGCTCTCTGAGGCACTGAAAATGGTAAGCATCTGCAGGACTGCTGTTTGCCACCTTCAGATTATTTGGGGCTTGTTTCTGGTCCCTGTTCTAGACCACAAACAGGCTGAGAACTCAGTGCAGACATAACGGAGATGGACAAAGGGCGGTCGGTGCCAGCCTTTGTGAAGGCTTCCTGCTTGGCCCACACGCGCCATTCCCGCCAGGAAGGGTGGGGCGCAGGGGGAAATGTGGGTGCCAGATGTGACCACAAGAAAGTGCCCTGTTGGGAAACCCATAACCAAAGGGAAGTTTGGACTCTCACCTGGTGGTGGGGAGCCCAAGCGCTGCTTCATGAGGATGCCCTGCCCTGCCTGACAGGAGGTAAAGCCCATGTGAGCACAACCTCCCTTGTCCGTGAGCCTCGAGGCCAGAACAGGTGAGGCCAGCAGGCCCGGCCCCAAGCAGTCCTGTCTTTGTTTAGGGCGGTCAGGGTTGCCGGGACAGCCACTCTCTAGTGCTGCATTTAAAAATTCTAACCCATTATGTGTGTGTGTATGTGTGTGTGTGTGTGTGTAAAATTATAGGCTATTTTTTAAAAATATACACACTTATAAAACTAATATTGGAAGGGAACTTAAAGACCTGGTCCAGCTGCTTCTGATGGGAGACACTCTCTTGTTCGAAGCCCCACATCCAGTATCTCCTTGAACGCCTTCTGTAGCCCAGCACTCACTGTCTCATGAGAGAGTGGGGACTTCTGTTCAACGAACAGTCGGCCTCCCTGCGGCTGCCTCCCATCCTTCTATCCTCCGGGCTAAACAGAGCCGACTGAGGGCCTTACTGCGGCGCACCTGTCTTCCTCAGATTTGAGGACAGCCGTCATGGCCCAGTCCCCCACCCCCAAACCCGGCATCTCTCCCCCAGGCTACATAGCCCTTCCACCAAAGACTTTCCAGAGTTTCTGTGTGCCCAGAGCTGTGGAAAGTTCTCCCTAGCCTGTCTGACGAGGGCAGGGTGCAGGAGGTCTAGCACCGTTCCCGTGTGAGACGTTGTCCCCAGAGAACTGTTGGTAGACACCTCTCATTGTGGATTCATAAGGCATTTGCTGTCCACTCACACCCCCGAGCCTTTTTCACACACACAGACACACATGCTGCCAATTACCATCCTGTACTTACGAAGTTCATGTCTTTAACCTGAGCGCCTGACTTCACATTTCTGCTGTGAAATGTCATCATTCCAGCCTGTTGGGCTATTTGGGGATCTTTACTGACATCCTACCTATCAGTTGCCTTCACGTCATTCACACATTTGATACACACCTCACTGATGTCTTCGCTGAAGTCAGTGTAAAAAAAATCCCAGGCTGTGTCCTCAGACCTCTGGATGACACAGATCCACTCCAGAGCATTCCGTGCAGAGGAGGTTGCTTGCACGGCACTGAAACATCAACCTCCTCTTGCTTCTCCATCCTGTCCATAAGACCGTTGTAAGACATTTGCAAATGCCGTACCGAGCCCCAGAGACCACGACTGTAGTATTTCCCTGCCTTTTGATAACCTGCCCCCGAAGGAAACCTATGCCATGTTCTTGTTGAACCCAGGCTGGCTGCAAGGCATCGTCCCTTCTCTGTGTGTGGTCCAAGGGCAGGGATGAAGCTGTTGATCTGATCATTTTTAGTGCTTACAGATAGCTCGGCTCCCTTGCATGGTTATAGGTGTTACAGCAACTTCTAAGACACACTGATGCCAAGCATGTGTCAAATGCTTATATCAAACTTGCTGGAAGACAGGAGTTCCTGAACAAGCCAATGGAAGTATTTCTCTCTTGGTAGAGATATTTTGGGGAAGGACAAGAGTCCAACTTAAGATATTAGGCTGGTCAGTCACCTGGATTGGTGGCAATCTTAATGAGTTCTTGATCTCATCGAGGTCTTTCAGAAAATTGCTCATTTATCAGGAGTGCTAATTGCTTTCTAGATGGAGTGGTAGTCACATCAGACCCAAAGTTCTGCCCTGGCTCAGGTTTGGTTCCTCTTCTCATTCCTGGAAAATACGTATTCAGGAAATGCAATTTAACCTTAGTATTAATCTAATATGTAAACATAATTTAAGTGCTATTGTCCAAGGGAACCATTCAATGTTCTCAGAGTTTTGTTTTTAATAAAGGAAAACATTCATCCAAGTATAATTTTCAAAAAGTTAAAAACATGACTCTAATACAAATATAGGATGGCCGTGGGTCAAAGCTGTCATTTAACTCATTGATTAATAAAGAAATCAGTAAGATGGTAAAGCTGATCAAAAGAGCATTTCAGGAACAGGAGTATATTAGTCAAATGAATGTTGAAATGAATTTGCGAATCAATACAAAACCGGCTAAAATCCTACAGGGCAATGCAATTATCATCTTTGAGGTGATCTTCTATTAAATAACAAAGCCAAACAGTGATACATTCACTAGATAAATAATCCTTGAGCCTGGTAAACAGTACCCTAGCGTATGTTAGAAAGGCAGACGTTCTTCATCTTGCTTTATTTCCCAGTTTGCAAAGACTTTGCTCTACAAGGTGCTATAAGATGACCAATCTCACAGTCTCCTGGAAGGAGTATTTACTTGGATCATCTCTCTGGAAAGCTGTTTGGCAGTGTAAAGAACTGAAAACTCTTCATATCCTTGAGCCAGTATTTTCACTTATAAGACTTCATTCTAAAGAAATAATCAGAGAACCAAAGACTTGTGAACAACCCTCATTCAGTGTTTTGAGCCTCCTGAATGCAGATGGTCACCAAAATTTGGGAACGATACAGACAGATGTCCACTGATAAAGGATGAATTGGGGTAGCCTCTTAAATAGAATGTGGCCATTGCAAATGATATTTCTGAAGGTACCTGTGTAGTCTTGACATTCTAGGTAGCGAGAAAGTCGAGATGGAAAACATGTCTTGTTTTATTATTTATAAGTACTTATTATCTCAATTATACAGAGAAAAAATGAAAAACTAAACTAATATTAACTAATATTTTGTTTTCTGAGTTTCCTACAGTTAAACTTTCGAAGCTTTTTTAACCAGAAAAAATATAAAGTTTGCAGTGCATTCCAGAAATAAGTGACTCAAATTGCCTCTCATTTTAGATTATTCATACCTTCTCTGCCTTCCTCCTCCACCTTTCACGTTGACATTTTAAGCTGTAAGCGGAGAGCAGCAGGAGAAGGCGGCCCTGATGATGAGAGCTGAGGGCACCCCACTTGTTTGGATTTCATTAGGTTACTGCAGACGTCACAGGCGCCCCAGGCTATCATAGTCAGGGAGCCTAGGGTGTCTCCAGGTGTGGGAGAAAGCCTGTGCGGTTGTTAGAATTCTGAAGAGAGCCTCCTCGTTCCCAGTTGGAGAACTGCAAGTCAGAGCAAATCCTTATTTCTATGCCGAAATCAACATACTAGACTTATACCCACCAGCCCAGTGGGTCCCAAACTTGGCTGCGCATTAGAGTCACTGGGGAGGGTCCCCTGGGTGGCTCCATCGGGTAAGCATCCAACTGAGGTCATGATCTCAGGGTCGTGAGATCCGAGCCCTGCACTGGGCTCCCTGCTCAGCGTGGAGTTTGCTTGGAATTCTTTCTCTCCCTCAGTCTCTGCCCCTCCCCCTGCTCTCTCTCTCTCTCTCAAAGTAAATAAATAAAAGCTTAAAAAAAAGAAAAGAATCACCTGGGGACCTTTTGACAGTCAAATGAAGCAGACTTTTTAGGAGTGGGACCCAGCATCGCCCCTGAACAGTGTTTTATTCAGAAGGGCCCCATCCGATTAAAATGCACAATGAGTGGAAACCACGGGACTGGAGACACCCCCTCTGTGACGAAGCCCAGAATCGGAGGCCTTTGAACTGTGTCCCATCCTCCCCTGCACTATCAGGAACTCCACAGCCCTCCTGACCAGCTGCTTGGCAAATGCCCGCTTTCTGCTCCCTTTTCACTCATTGCCTCCTTCCCTGACACGACCTCAGTTACAGTTAATGGTTGTTTCTAAAGCCCTCTCTGTGTTCCCTCACCATTAGGCCAAGTGAGACGACTTCCCTGAGACTAAGATCCCTGAGGAGAGTCCAGCCGCCCTCTTTATAGCTCTGGTTCCTGGCACAGAACAGCTGCTTGATGGCTGTCAGACGAGTGAACGAAAGAGTGAACAAATCAAAGGAGGGGGGCTTCCTGTTCTTTGATAACATGCGATACTTTGATGTGTTTGACTTACAGGGCGTACAAATTATAGTGTTTCCAGAAGATGGCATTCATGGATTCAACTTTACAAGAACATCTGTTTACCCATTTTTGGACTTCATGCCATCTCCCCGGTTGGTCAGGTGGAACCCATGCCTGGAGCCCCACCGATTCAATGACACAGAGGTACGTGAGGGTCCCAGCCTTCCTCCTCAGTAGGCTGAAGGCATGAAGAGATAAATCAAGCCGGGGGCCAAAAGCCAAGCATGTTAAATGAGACTGAAAGGAGACCCTAGGATCCTAAAACGGAAACCCAGACTCCCCAAACTCCCTGCGTTACATATTCATTCAGTTAAAGAATGTCTGGTACTATGGGGCCTTTACTCATCTCTGGATTGTTCTATTAATTACACAAGAAATACATGAATATATGCTTAGAAAACAAATGAGTCACATCAGAAGTAAAAAAAAAAAAAAAAAATCAAAGCCCATCTTCACACACACCCCACCCATCACCCTACTTCTCTTCCTACAGAAACTGCCATCAACAGTTTGATGTGCATCCAACTGTATTCTTTTCTACACATTTTGTATTGACATCCTCTTTTTTAGCATGCTATATGCTTTTTTAAAAACTCTTGCTATTATGTTGCAATGAATATCCTTGTACACATATTTTCATAAGTATGTCCAAGTTTTTTTTTTAAGATTTTTTTATTTATTTGAGAGAGAGAGAATGAGAGATAGAGAGCACGAGAGGGAAGACGGTCAGAGGGAGAAGCAGACTCCCTGCCGAGCAGGGAGCCCGATGTGGGACTCGATCCCGGGACTCCAGGATCATGACCTGAGCCGAAGGCAGTCACTTAACCAACTGAGCCACCCAGGCACCCCATGTCCAAGTTTTTCTGTAAGGTGAGATTCCTAGAAATGGAATTTCTCAGCTACAGAATATGCACATTTTAAATTATTTTGAAGAGTACCAAGTTCCCTTTCAAAAGATCTCTATTTCACTTTACTTCCCTAGTAATAGTCTGAGTGCCTGTTTTCCCACCTTTTGGTCAATGCAAGATAGAATAATCTTTTGAATTTTTGCCAATCTTATGAAGGTTCAAAGTGATATCTCATTATCTTAATTTGCATTTCATCATTACTAATCTGGTTGAGTATCTTCTCAGATGTTCATATTTGTTCTTCTATGAATCACCTCTTCATATCCTGTGCACACTTTTTGCAGTGTTTTTTTTTACTGATTTATGATAGCCAATTTATATATTATAGACAATACAGGTACTTTTCTATTTTAAGATTATAAGACAAAGGCAGGATTTAAAAAATTCATTTATTTATACTGTTTTTTTTCTTTAGGTCCTCCAGCGCCTGAGTTGTATGGCCATCAAGGGAGATATGTTTGTGGTGGCCAATCTAGGGACAAAGCAGCCTTGTCATAGAAATGACCCAGGGTGCCCAAAGGATGGAAGATATCAGTTTAACACGAATGTCGTGTTCAGCAATAATGGAACCCTTGTTGACCGCTACCGCAAACACAACCTCTACTTTGAGGCAGCTTTTGATGCTCCTCTCAAAGTGGATCATAGCATCTTTGATACCCCCTTTGCTGGCAAATTTGGCATCTTCACCTGCTTTGATATATTGTTCTTCGACCCTGCCATTAGTCTCCTCAGAGACTCTGAGGTGAAGCACATCGTGTACCCGACTGCCTGGATGAACCAGCTCCCACTATTGGCAGCCATTCAGATTCAGAGAGCTTTTGCCATTGCTTTTGGCATCAACTTTCTAGCCGCTAACATCCACCACCCATCTCTGGGGATGACCGGAAGTGGTATACACAGCCCTCTGAAGTCCTTTTGGTACCATGACATGGAAGACTCTGGAGGTCATCTTATAATTGCACAAGTAGCCAAAAATCCAGTGGGTCTCATTGGTACAGAGAATGCCACGGAGAAAATGGACCCATCCCATAGTAAGTTTTTAGAACTCTTGGCAGGTGATCCATACTGTGAAAAGGATGCTAAGGAAGTCCACTGTGACGGAGCTACTGAATGGAACATGAACGCTCCTCCCACATTTCACTCTGAGATGATGTATGACCATTTCACCCTGGTCCCTGTGTGGGGAAGGGAAGGCTACCTCCGTGTCTGTGCAAATGGCCTCTGCTGTCATTTGCTTTACCAGAGGCCCACTTTGTCCAAGGAGGTGTATGCCCTGGGGGTCTTTGATGGTCTTCACACTGTGCATGGCACTTACTACGTTCAAGCTTGCGCCCTGGTCAAGTGTGGGGGTCTTGGCTTTGACACCTGTGGGCAGGAGATCACAGAGGCCACAGGGAGATTTGAGTTTCACCTGTGGGGGAACTTCAGTACTTCCTATGTCTTTCCTCTGCTTCTTACCTCAGGGATGACCCTGGAAACCCCTGATCAATTTGGCTGGGAGAGTGACTACTGTTTCCTGAGGAAAAGGGGGCTGTCTTCTGGCCTGGTGACGGCAGCTCTGTACGGGCGGCTGTATGAGAGGGACTAGGGCGGTGTGGGGTGGGCGGCCCTGCACTTGCCCAGGCTGCAGCTCACAAGCCCTGGCACCACCTCTCTGGCCCAGAGCCCATTGTGGAGCCGTGGGATGAAGGAGGAGAGGCTGATTCCCCCAGTGTCTCTTCCTCTCCCATGTGAATTAATGAGTCTTTTCTGGTATTCTCTGCTCACATTTATCATTTCCAAGCCACATCTTCCTCCGGCAAATCTCTCATTTCACAATTGGTTTTAAGAGCTAAAACAAAAATAAATGTCACTTCATATTTTACACATCCACAAAGCGGTGGGTCTTGGGTGTGCTTTCCTCGTTCTTGTCGATCAAGCGACACGTGGGACATACAAGTATCTCAAGCCTCAAACACTGTCTAAGGTAAGAAACAAACTCTCAGAGCCAGAGCTGTATTAGAAATGGCTGCGTGGGCCCTTTTCTGTTCTGAATGAGCAGAATTCTATCCAGATGAAATGGTAATGCCAGAGCTATCGGCAACATCAGAAATGTGGATCTTGAAGCAGCTTTTAAAAATAGAAGGGAAGGGCGCCTGGGTGGCTCAGTCGTTAAGCGTCTGCCTTCAGCTCAGGTCATGATCCCGGGGTCCTGGGATCGAGTCCCACATCGGGCTCCCTGCTCCGCGGGAAGCCTGCTTCTCCCTCTCCCACTCCCCCTGCTTCTGTTCTTGCTCTCGCTGTCTCTCTCTGTCAAATAAATAAATAAAATCTTAAAAAAAAAAAAAATAGAAGGGAAGTTTTCCTTCCATCTGTCTTTCTGTCAATAAATGGAATGTGTCAGGCAGGACTCATAATAACTGGAAAGAAAGAGCACAGTGCCCGAGAGAGAGAGAGAGAGAGAGAGAGAAAGCGCGAGAGGGAGGAGGCTGGGAAGAAGTGCTGAAGAGAGGGGCAGCAGTGGGAAAGTATGAGTAAGAGGATTCTTTCTGTGCAACGTGTCTCATGCAGGGATTCCAGGGACCTTAATAAATCATGCTAACTTCCAGCAAGAGCCTTCCAGTTGCCCAACTGTGCGGGCTGGAATGATGTGGGTGTGATTCCATGCGCAGTCCCCAGAGGGCCTGCCCTGCGAGAGAGGCATCCCACCTCTTGAAGAAAAGCTGCAAGAACTGCCATGGAGGTCGGCCCACTGTCATTCATTCATTTAGTCACGCAACAGGTGTTTTCGGAGAGCCCACCAGGTACAGAGCAAGGCCTGCCACAGTATGAGTTCCAGATGCAAAACCATATAATCAGTGAGGGAAGACATTTTTAGGCCACTAATTTCTTTTTTTTTTCTTTTGTGCTTGATTTTTTTTTAAGATTTTATTTATTTGAGAGAGAGCACAGGGGGGGTGGGGGGAGGGGCGGAGGGAGAGGGAGAGGCAGACTCCCCGCTGAGCAGGGAGCACAACGTGGGGCTCCATCCCAGGGCCCTGGGATCATGTCTAGGCCACTAACTTCTGTATTATTTGTATCCAACATTTCAAAGTCATTTTGACTCAATGCCTAGTAACTGTTTCAGATGATTTTTAAGTGGGAAAATAGATAATTTTTAAAGAAGATGGATAATTAGCCTGCCGTGATTTGCCCCTTCCATGTCGTGGCTAGTTTCCTCCTTTAATTAGGTGTTTAAAGCAGTCTGTGCATATATATAATATACAAAGTAAGAAATGGGACTCCTTCCGCATCCCCCTGCAGTGTGGCCTTCTAGACCTCTTTTCTGGCTTTCAAGCAGGCTAATAAAGAGCACAGACCCTGGACTCGAGACAGTCCAGGTTCACTTCCTCCGCCTCACTGTTTACTCTTCAACTGCATAGGCTTTGGACAATTTATTTAAACCCCATCACCACAATCTTCTCATTAGTAGAATGTGTACCGAATAATCCATGTGGGAATGATCCAAATAAGCGAAACCCCTGCTGACTCACTGCTCACTCACAAAGGTTTGGAATGAGTCACTCTTCAGGGAATAAGCAGGAAGAACTCAGAATTCCTGAGGAAGCCCTGGGAAGTCCCGTTGGACCGGGAACAGGACCTCTCCCACCAGCTGACAGAGCTCACCCGCCCTCCCCAGTGCGGGACCTGCCAGGAGGGGGTGCGCTTGTGGCGCCGGATGTGGCTGGCTACCACCCACTTAGCTCTCTGCCCCAAACCCCAGGGAAACAGAAGTCATCTTAAAAATGCATCTTGTTGCTTCATGCCGAGAGGATTCAAGTCAGCCTGAGAAAGTGAGAGACGGAGAGAGCAATCCTAAATACAGACTTGGTGGAACTACTCCAACCCAGGAAGCACTTATGAAGCACCTGCTGGATGCACATTCTGCCCTTCTGAACAGAGCACCTAGAACTTTCCCTGAGTTACTTTCTATTGACAATTTAGAACCAATTGCTTATGAAGTAGAAATGAGGGGGGGAAATAAATAATGGTGGTAAAACAATTGTTTTTACAATAAAAAGAAGTAGCTGCCAGGTGGCAGAACAAAATGGAGGACGGGAAAATGAGTAAAAGAAATCATTTTTAGGAAAAAAATACACCTATGATTAATGGTTATGATATGCTTTTGTCAACTGTAATCCTGAAATTCAGGAAGCAAATGGCAATCTTGACCATAACATAGAGGCAGGAAATCGAATGTATTTTTGGTCGACTTGGGGTAAGTCGGTTGGTCGGTGTGGCTTCTCCTGTAGGTGCAGCTGTGGCTACTGGTGGTTTTCCTCGCAGGGGAAGTGAGAGGCACAATCAGCTGTGTTCACACTGGCCCGAGAAAGGCCTGCTCCTAGAGAAGGCAAAACCACGCCCTGCTCAGACCGTCAGGCCCAGCGCCCACCACCCCCTCCTAAGGGGAGAGCCTGCCTGCAGCCCTGCTGAGGGAAGACCCCTGGGCCACCTCCTACTCACCGGTACCTGTTCAGTACCTTGTGGCCCCATCCCCTGGCCATCGCACATTGGGCTGGGAGTGGGCACCCGACCCCAGACCAATCGGTCAGAGGGCTGGCTGGTGACCTGTGAGGTGGCTGGTACCGAAGCTCTGCCCAGAGAGGGAAAATCTCCATCAGCTGCTTGGATTCTCAGTGAAACTCAGAACTGCTCCAATACCAATTACCCACTAGAACAAATAGTTTCTCAACAAAGTGGATATACATATGGCAAAACTTTAAAAAAAAGTTTTAGGATGAAATGTTGTGTAAGAAGGCTCAGATTTAAAACAAATGCCGACGTGACATGAAGATCTGTGAGCAGGATTGCTGTGGAGGCCTTTAGTCTTTTATTGCCATGTCTCCCTCCCTGTGTTAGTTGCCTATTCCCACACAACTCACCCCAAAACTTAGTGGCTTAAAACAGTGCTGAACGTTATTAACTCACACAGTTTCTGTGGGTCAGGAGTCTGGGAATGGCTTAGTTGGGTTCTTCTGGCTCAGGGTCTCGGGAGGCCACAATCAAGATATGAACTGGGGCTCTAGTCAGCTGAAGGCTTCACTGAAGTTGGGGGATGTTATTGATAATTGTGTTCCCCATTGAGATATGTTGAAGTCTTAACCCCCAGTACCTCAGAATGTGACCTTATTTGGAAATAGGATCCTTGTAGATATGATTAAGATAAGGTCATACTAGAGTAGGGTGGCCCTCCCTGATTCTCAGGGAGAAGACGGCCATGTGGCAACAGAAGCAAAGATCGGAGGGGTGCATCCATGAGCCAAGAAACCCTGAGGATTGCTGGCAAATGCCAGAAGCTAGAAGAGTCAAGGAAGGATTCTCCCCTACAGGTCTCAGGAGGAGCATGGCCCTGCTAACACCCTGATATTGGACTCTGAGCCTCTACAACTGTGAGTAAATTTCTGTGTTTTAAGGCACCCAGTTGGTGGTACTTTTTAAAGGCAACCCTAGAAAACAACTACCTATCAGTCTGGCCCAGTCACATGGCTGGCTGCTGCAGGAGGCTCAGTTCTTCAACATAGGGTCCTCTCTGGAGGGCTGTTTGGCTGTCCGACTTGGCAGTTGGCTTCCCCTGGAGCAAGTGATCCAAGGGAGGGCGGTGTGGAAGCCACAGTGTCTATTATGACCCACCATCCAGAAAGTGGGTGGGACCCACTTTATCATTTCCATACGATCCTGGTGGGTAACCCAGATCAGCCTTGCTCATGGAGGGAGGAGACACAGGACATAGGCCAGGAGGGGAGGATCACTAGGCACCATCTTGGAGCTGGTTACCATACCCCTCAGTCCAAATCCCGCTTCTCCTGTTTCTCACCTCCCTGAAGTTTATAGTTGTACCCAACCTGCCCCCTGCCTGTGCTGAGCCCCATGCTGACCCCTCACTATGAACCCAGCTCCCTGGTCCAGCTATGGCCAAATTTTCTCAACTCTGCAACGTGCTGAGCATAATCTGGCCTCAGCACTATTGTCTTTGCTTGAAATGGCCTCTTTTGAGGGGGATACACCTCTCAAGGTCCACTCCATCACAAGCATTTTGTGAATCTTCTCCCACTGAAGTGATGTTTCCTGTTCCCAGTTCATCGGGCCATCATATTTATCCAGGTCCTTTCTGCCAGACCATGAGCTGCACTGAGAGTGGCTGCCCTGTAGTGAGTGACAGCTCTATGCTGGATGGGGCACATAAATAGCTCCCTTAACCTTCTCCATGAGCCTTAAAGAAGGCTTGATATGGCCATCTTGCAGAAGAGGAAACCTGAACAGAGATGCTAGTGAATTGCCCACATGTAGATTAGAGCTGGTGCTGGGATCTGGGTTTTCTTCACCGTGACTCTGGGGACCCCCTCTGAGAACAGAGCTGATATGCTATTAATCTTTGTGTCTACAGCTCCTGGCACAGCCCCTGTGGCTTATGAAATATGGGCTCAGCACATGTTGACTGCGGAATGAATGAGTGAATGAATGATTAGACAGTCACCAAGTGTGCTTATTTCACTTAGACAGACTGGAACATTTTCTTTCCCTTTGGAAACTTCTCTCATTTTAGTTTTCTAGCACTGAAGTAAAAATCTAACAGCCGAACAGTTAAAAATAAAATTAACAATAGATCTATGAGCTGCTGGGCTTCATGTATATATGTCTTCCACACATAATTTTTTTTTTTTTTTTTTGGTTTGAGCAAAAGTGATCATTTATTGACTTATGTAACTGAAGTCTAGAGAGTAGATCTCCTCAGGCATGGCTGGATTCAGGAGCTGAAATGGTCTGTGGACAGTGTCTATGCGTGCGGGTCTCTCTCTGCACTTGGCATTCTTACCAGCTTCTTTTCCAGACTCCTCATACAGTGGTAATGATGATGGCCATCA